TCCAGATATTAACCCAAACATTTACGGTCAACTAATATATGATAAAGGAGCCATGGACAGACAATGGGAAATAACAGCCTCTTTAACAGCTGGTGTCGGCAAATCTGGACAGCTACATGTTAAGAGAATGAAATTGGATCACTTTCTAACCCCATACACAAAAGTAAATTCGAAATTGATCAAAGACCTGAATGTAAGTCATGAAACCATGAAACTCTTAGAAAAAAACATAGGCAAAAATCTCTTGGACATGAACATCAGCAACTTCTTCATGAACATGTCTCCCTGGGCAAGGGAAACAAAAGCAAAAATGAACAAGTGGGACTATATCAAGCTGAAAAGCTTCTGTACAGCAAAGGACACCATCAATAGGACAAAAACAGTATGGGAAAATATATTCATAAATGACAGATCTGATAAAGAGTTGACATCCAAAATATATAAAGAGCTCATGCACCTCTACAAACAATAAACAAATAATCCAATTTAAAAATGGGCAGAGGAGCTGAACAGATAGTTCTCCAAAGAAGAAATTCACATGGGCAACAGACACATGAAAACATACTCCACATCGCTAGTCATCAGAGAAATGCAAATTAAAACCATAATGAGATACCAACTCACACCAGTAAGGGTGGCCAACATCCAAAAGACAAAGAACAAATGTTGGCGAGGCTGTGGAGAAAGGGGAACCCTCCTACACTGCTGGTGGGAACGTAAACTAGTTCAACCATTGTGGAAAGCAGTATGGAGGTTCCTCAAAAAGCTCAAAATTAAAATATAATTTGATCCAGGAATTCCACTGCTAGTAATTTACCCTAAAAATGCAGCAACCTTTTTTGAAAAAGACATGCACCCCTGTGTTTATCGCTGCACTATTTACAATAGCCAAGAAATGGTAGCAACGTAAGTGTCCATCAGTCGGTAAATGGATAATGAAGAGGTGGTACATATACACAATGGAATATTTTTCAGCCATAATAAGAAAGCAAATCCGACCATTTGCAACAACATGGATGGAGCTAGAGGGTATTATGCTCAGTGAAATAAGCCAGACAGAGAAGACAAGTACCAAATGATTTCACTCACATGTGGAGTATAAGAGCAGATAAAAATCTGAAGGAACAAAACAGCAGCAGAATCACAGAACCCAAGAGTGGACTAACAGTTACTAAAGAGAAAGCGACTTGGGCATATGGGTTGGAAGGCAGGGATTAGGGGGGAGGGGAAGTAAAGAGGGCATTACAATTAGCATGTATAATGTGAGGGGGGCACGGGGAGGGCTGTGCAACACAGAAGACAAGTAGTGATTCTACATCATCTTACTTTGCTGATGGACAGTGACTGTAATGGGGTTTGTAGGGGGAACTTGGTGATGGGGGGAGTCTAGTAAACATAGTGTTTCTCATGTAGTTGAAGATTAATGATACCAACAAATAAAAATAAACCATGCTATCCCTCAAAAGATATAGGAAAGCATTTGAGAAAATTCAATATCTATATTTGATCAAAGCCCTCAAAGTGGGCACTGAGGGAATGTATCTCAACATAATAAAGGTCATTTATGAGAAGTCCACAGCTAACATCATACTTAGTGGTGAAAAGCTAAGAGCTTTTCCTCTAAGATCAGGAGCAAAACAAGGATTCTCACTCTTGTTACTTTCATTCGACATAATACTGGAAGTCCTAGTCTGAGGGAGAGGGAGAAGTAATACTCATTATTTGCAGATGCCGTAACACTATGTAAAAAACTCCATAATTTTTGGTAGAAGACTCCACTAAAAAACTGTTAGGAGAGAGAAATGAATTCAGTGAAGTTACAGGATATAAAATCAATATACAGAAATTGTTTCTATACATTAATAATAAACTAAACTATCAGAGAAATTCAAAAAACAATTCCATTTGCAATTGATTCAAAAGGAATTAAACACCTAGGCATTAATTTAACCAAGGAGGTGAAAGATCTATCTTCTGAAAGCTAAAAGACATTAGTGAAAGAAATTGAAGAAGATGCAAATAAATGGAAAGATAGTCTGTGGTCATGGATTAAAAGAATTAATATTCTTACAAAGTCCATACTACCCAAAGCAATCTACAAATTCAGTGTAATTCCTGACAGAAATCCAATGGCAGTTTTCACAGAAATAGGAAAAACAATCCTAATATTTGTTTTTAGGAACAAATGGAACCACTAAAGATCCTGAATAGCCAAAGTAATTTTGATAAATACATGCAATGCTAGACACATCACACTTACTGATATCAAACTATGTTACAGATCAATAAATATCAAAACAGTATGGTACTGGCATAAACACAGGTACACACAAATTAATGGTATTGAATTGAGAATCCAGAATTTACCCACACATCTGTGGTCAACTTTTTATAACAGAGTCCAAGACTATTCAAGGGGAATGGGTTATCATCAGTAATGGTGTTGGGAAAAAAGGAAAGGATCACTGTTTTATACCATACACAGAAATTAACTCAATGTTGATAAAAGACTTGGATGTAGGGCCTAAATCTGTAAAAGTGCCAGAAGAAAACAGGCAGCATGCTCCTGGACATTAGTCTTGTCAGTGATTTTTTTGGATTTGACTCCAAAAACAAAGACCACAAAACCGACAATCAACAAGTGCTATTACATCTGCTAAAAATGTTCTGTACAGCAAAGGACACCATCAGCAAAATAAAAAACCTGTTGAATGGGAGAATTTATTTGGAAATAATATATCTGATAAAGGGTTAATATCCAATATATATAGACTCATACAACTCAGAAGCAAATAAAGAAACAATTCAATTAAAAAATTGGGCCTAGTATCTGAATAGACATTTTTCCGAAGAAGATATAGACCGCCATCAGGTACGTGAAAAAATTCTCAACATTTTCCTTAGGTATCAGGGAAGTGCAAATCAAAACCATAATTAGATGTCACATCTTACTTGTTAGAATGTTACCAAAAAGACAAGAAATAACAATTGTTGGTGAGAATGTGGAGAAAAGGGAATCCTTATGCATTGTTGGTGGGAATGTAAATTGGTGCAGCCACTATGGAAAATAGTATGAAGGTTCCTCAGGAGTTTAAATATAGAATGATCATATAGTCAAGCAATTCCACTTTTCCACTTCTGGGTATTTATCCAAAGGAAATTAAAATACTAACTCAAGAAGATATTTGTTCTCCCATGCTCATTGCATTATTTTTTATACTAGTGAAGATACAGAAACAACCTAAGCATCCATTAAGTGATGAATGGGTAAATAAATTTTGGAGTGGGTGTGTGTGTGTGTAAAATGGAACATTATTTGGTCATAAAAAGTAATGAAATCTATTGTCAGTGTTTATGGGTCTGTTTCATTATTGTTTTGTTTTTTACATTCCACATGTAAGTGAAATCAAATGGTATTTGTCTTTATCTGATTTATTTCTCTTAGCATATACCCCCTAGGTCCATTCCATGTTGTTGCAAATGGCAAGATTTCCTGCTTTTATGTAACTGAGTAATATTCCATTGTGTATATGTACTGCATCTTCTTTATCCATTATCTATTGTGTACTTGGGTTGCTTCCCTATCTTGGCTATTGTAAATAATATGGCAAATAAACAGGGGTGCATATGTCTTTTCAAATTAGTAGGTAAGAGGTGTATGAAGATGGGTGAAATAGGCAAAGGGGATAAAGAGGTATAAAATTAGTCAGGAATGGAAGTACAGAATAGAGAATATAACCAGTAATATTGTGATATCTTGGTATGATAGAGGGTAACTATACATACCATGGTGAGCATTTAGTAATATATATAATTATTGAATCATTATGTTGGACATCCAAAACCAAAATTGTATATCAGCTATGGTCTAATTTTAAAAAGTAATGAAATCTCGTCACTTTTGACAACATGAATGGACCTTGGGGAAATTATGCTTTTAGTGAAATAAGTCAGAGAAAGAAAGATAAATAAAAATGACTTCATTTATTCAGATGTGAAATCTGAAAAGGAAAAAAGTAAACTCATAGATAAAGAGAACAGATTGGTGGTTGCCAGAGGCAGGGGATGAGGTGGCCCTGAAATGGGGGTGAAGGGAATCAAAAGATACAAACTTCCAGTTATTACTAAGTCATGGTTAATGATACTGTATTGCATATATGAAAGTTGCTAGGTGAGTAAATCTTTAGGTCTTCATCATACACACAAAAAATTTCAAGTATGTATGGTTGGTGACAGATGTTAACTAGACTTACTGTGATGATCATCTCACAATATGTACAAATATCAAATCTGTTATGTATATTATGTCTGCCTGAAACTAATATAATATTGTATGAAAATTATATCTCATTTGAAAGAAAAAAAGAATATAATACTATAGCCTCCACAGAAAATGTTCCTGATATGAGAACATTTGAACCCTAATGAAAGTAAACATTGAAATCTCATATAGGGTGACTAATAAGCAGTATATAAATTTTGTGACGTTAACAACGTCACATTTTCTGAATGTCTCTCCCACAGTTCTTCAGTCATAGGGAACAATGAGAACTGCACACTTAATTTAAATGGACGGTGGTAGAAAGGAATGTGTGGAGGTCAGATTTTGTTTTTCTTCAGGGAGGGGCAGGAGCAACTTTTAATAATTAAAATGTACATGTGAAAAAAAGATGGAATAGAAGTCCCTACTTATTTCTACTTAAGATGTCATGTGATGATATTTTACAGTGTTCTGTGGGTCAATGTATGTGTGTGTGTATGTCCATATAACATACACATACACACACACAGATAATTATTTGCAGTTCAGTTTAGGGCAATTCTAATATGCCACTCTGTACAGTTGTTTGAATCACATTTGGACCGACTTTCTTCACAAAATTCAGGAGAGAGCAGGGAATCAAAAGGTTGGTTTGGTGTGACAGATTCTTTTGTTTATGCACTGTGATGAATAATTTTCTTCTGTAGTAGTTCTGTGAAGGGCTGACTCACTGTGGTTTTTATGAGGAGACTTGGTAATGGATCACACTCATTGTCATGCTAGGGGAGTAACTCTCACTCTGAAAAGTATTCAAGAAATTTCCCCCCATTTACTTTGGAGTGCCCAGTTGATTACTCAGGCTCATGTTATTGGGAGAATTCTTGGAAATACTGTCCATATCTCCTGAACCCAAAGAGCCATTCATGTGATGTGACTCCATTCCTCCTAATCCACCCATAGGACCATCTGACCCAGGGCCCATTGGAAAATTAGGCCTGTTAGGTCCAGGTGGTACTACATTCATTTTAGTACACATGTTCTTTCCAGAGTTCATTGAATCTGCTGGACTACGCATGATGGGTGTTCCTGGTGACCCTACACCTCCTGGAGGACCTACATAATTCCCAGGAGATGCTGAGGAGTATGGTACCAGATTGGTATTTGTTGGGTTTGGCCACGGTATACTACCACCACCTGGACCCATGTTTATTCCAGGCATTCCAGGGCCACCTAAAGCCTTCAGTGGGGTCTTATTGCACCTCCATAATTCTGTGGTCCCGAGGGCACCATTCCTCTTGGAGGAGTCATTCTCTGCATTGGCCCACCCATATTTGAATGCCCTTGTTGTTGAATTTGGTCCATTCCACTGGGAAGTAATGGCTGACTTCCTGGGACACCTCCAAGTGCCTGGTTAGGTATCCTCAGTGGGGGCCTTGGACCTCCAGGGTATCGAGGTGACATAAAAGGCTGAAAGAACCCTGGTGGTACAGGACCTACTGGCATGCCATCTCCTAGGGGAATGTTTCCTAACACTGGGCTGGGAGCTGCTACAGCGCTATGACTCAAAGATCATGACACTGGGTATAAGTCCTTTCAATATCCAGGTTTCGCAGTCAGATTTTTTACTCTCATTTCCAACTGGGGAGGATTGACCTGGTTTGCATGGCAATATGGTTTTTTTTCTTTTTTTTTTCTTCTGGTATCATTAATGTACAATGACTTGAACAACATTATGGTTACTAGACTCCCCCTCTTATCAAGTTGCAATATGGTTTTGATTTGCAATATGACAGGCAGGAAGGAGTTGAAGAAACCGTATCTTTAAGGCAGCTTTCCAGTGTCTGAACTGAGTTCATATCCCACCAAGAAAGAAAAACAAAAACATGTATGTGTGTACACACACACAAACACCAGTAAATCATAGGCATTATGGTCACAGGATTATTTGCCCGTTCTAATGGGTGAAAAACTAAATCTAACAAACCTCTATGTACTTTGACAAAAGACAGTGTTCTCTGATATTTTTTTCTTTGTTTTTTGTAAAATCTGTATTGAGATTTGATTCATATACCATAAAATTCATTCATTTAAATTATACATTCAGTACTTTTTAGTATATTCAGAGTTGTGCAGCCATCACCACCATATCAGTTTTAGAACATTTTTATAATCTCAAGAAGAATCCCCATATATACCCTTCAATCTCCCTCCTGCCCAGACCTAAGCATCAACTACTCTGTTTTCAATCTTTATGGATTTGCCTCTTCTGGACATTTCATAGAATATGTGGCCCTTGTAACCTGGCTTCTTTCTCTTAGCATAGTTTTCAAGGTTCATTCATGTGGTAGCATGTGTTATTACTTCTTTTCTTTTTCTTTTGGTTGAATACTATTTCACTGAGAGGACATATCACGTTTGTTTATGCATTCATCAGTTGGTTGTTTTTACTTGTTGGCTGTTAATGCATAATGTTACCATAACCATTTCATGTAAAAGTTTTTAAGTGGACGTATGTTTTCATTTTTCTTGGGTATAATATATCTGGGAGTGGAATTACTGTGTCAAGTGGAACTACCAGATGGTGACTAATGATGCTGAGCACCTTTTCATGCACTTATTTCCCATTTGTATATTATCTTTGAATGAATTTGCTTTGCTCAGTTTTTAATTGGGTTGACTTACTGAGTTGTAAGGGTACCTCTGGAATTTGGTTTTTGATTGGAAACAGTGGTAAGTAGATGACCATATGCAGCCTACTTAAGCTGTCGCTGCTTCTGACAATTCCTACTGTACCCTCGAGGAGCTGAGAAAACTAAACAAAGATTATAAACCATAACTACCCATTTCCCAGCAGTTCAGAATACAAAGAGACAAGTCAGGTAATCCCAGACAAATAAGCAAAAGCCAAGGAGTTATCCACTCATTCTATTTTTAGGAAATCACAAACATTACTAGGTTTACAGCTATGAAAAACCAGGAGCTATACAGTTCAGAGCATAAAGATGGTGTGGAGTTCTTCAGTCATCATTTGGGACCTATGCTAAAATATTGCCCGGAAAGGAAATAAGAAAATGGAGATAAATTCACTTTGAAAGGATTAATCCAAAAACTAGGAGAACATGCTATATAAAGGCATGAAATCGCTCTGAATTGCAAATGAAAGCATTTAAAGAAAATTGAGTAAGAGGAAAAGAGCTAAGAGAGAGAAAGAAACAAAGGAGGAAGAAATTATCGTGGTGCATGAAACTGTATTAGGAGCCAGGAGTAGGATATGGAGCATAGGCTTAAAAAATTCACTTGTAAGAGCAATCAGAAAGAAGAAAAATATGGAAGATACAATGAAGACTCACTATGTGATTTTTCCAAAAATAAAAAGAAAGAAAGTGAAAGAAAATTTGTAGGCAAATATATAATAGAATAAAATGTAGTACAGAAAAGGAGAAAACCTGAATTTGTAGATCAAAATATTTAGCAGTTTATGTAACAATCCACATTATTAAATTGAAGACTTGTTTTTGGCTTTTTATAATAAGTAGCCATTAAGTCTTTGTCTTCATTTCTTATTACTTTTCATAAATTCTTAGAAATAAAATTTCCAGGACACAGAATATGAGTATTTTAAATTATGCATTGTGAAAATGATTTTATAGGTAAAAATGTCATCTTGTTTTAATTTATACTTATTAGTAGGAGACTGAACATTTTTCCATATAAATTGTATTGCCCTTTGAGTTTTTAGTTCGTGTCCTTTACCATTTTCTTTTGTTTTCACATCTCCTTATTTTTATGGTAAACATTTTTTCTCAGTTTATTGCTTCTCTTTTAGCTAATTTTCAGTATCTTTTCCTGATTACATTTTCCTATTAATTGGTAGCATTTCATTCTGCATACTTTAATAAAAGTATTTTTGTCTTTTTAATATTTACAAGTTTACTGTGCTTGGTACATGAGCTTTTTTTTTCTTTTTTTAGGATGAGGAGAGTTTATCTTCTGTAATTACTGACCTCAACATAATAATGGAGCCCACCGAATATTCAGAATTAAGTGAATTTGTGTCTAGGTAAGATATTTTACATGTTTATCTTTTTAGGGATTGTTTATACTCTATAGTCTTAAGTTTACCTCTTCTTTTTTCATGATAGGTAAATAACAAATAACTGAAAGCATCGCACATTATTATGGCTTACATTTAAATGTATATTCTCTATATCTATTCTTTGATTCAACCAAAATTTATTTACCTGTATGGTAGGCATTAAAGTGTGAGCAGTAGCACATATAATCCTTGATCCTCATGTAATGTATAGCTTAGTGGGGAAGTCAGATATTAAATAATCACAGAAACAAAATTGTGGCTATGTTAAATGCTTTAGAGAAGAGTTACACAATGCTGTTGAAGTACACATCAGAAATGTCATTTTTTTTTTAAGAGGGCATCTCTCATATTTATTGATCAAATGGTTGTTAACAATAAAATTCTGTATAGGGGAGTCACTGCTCAATGCACAATCATTAATCCATCTCAAACCTAGTTCTTGTCAGTCTCCAATCTTCTGAAGCATAACGAACAAGTTCTTACATAGTGAACGAATTCTTACATAGTGAATAAGTTCTTACATGGTGAACAGTATAAGGGCATTCATCACAGAAACTTTCGAATCTGATCACGCATTATGAACTATAAACAATCAGGTCAAATATGAATATTTGTTTGATTTTTATACTTGATTTATATGTGGATCTCACATTTCTCCCTTTATTATTATTATTATTTTTATTTTTAGTAAACTGCTGAAGTGGTAGGTAGATGCAAGATAAAGTTAGAAAACATAGTTTAGTGTTGTAAGAGAGCAATTGTAGATGATCAGGTGTGTGCCTGTAGACTATGTGCTAATCCGAGCTAGACAAGGGCAATAAAACATC